TACTCTGCTCTGATTGGTCAGATGGCCCAGTCTGTTGTGATTGGTTTACCCTGCTCTAATTGGTCAGATGGCCCAGTCTGTTGTGATTGGTTTACCCTGCTCTGATTGGTCAGATAGCCCAGTCTGTTGTGATTGGTTTACCCTGCTCTGATTGGTCAGATGGCCCAGTCTGTTGTGATTGGTTACCCTGCTCTGATTGGTCAGATGGCCCAGTCTGTTGTGATTGGTTTACCCTGCTCTAATTGGTCAGATGGCCCAGTCTGTTGTGATTGGTTTACCCTGCTCTGATTGGGCAGATAGCCCAGTCTGTTGTGATTGGTTTACCCTGCTCTGATTGGTCAGATAGCCCAGTCTGTTGTGATTGGTTTACCCTGCTCTGATTGGTCAGATGGCCCAGTCTGTTGAGATTGGTTTACCCTGCTCTGATTGGTTAGATGGCCCAGTCTGTTGAGATTGGTTTACCCTGCTCTGATTGGTCAGATGGCCAGTCTGTTGTGATTGGTTTACCCTGCTCTGATTGGTCAGATGGCCAGTCTGTTGAGATTGGTTAACCCTGCTCTGATTGGTCAGATGGCCCAGTCTGTTGTGATTGGTTTACCCTGCTCTGATTGGTCATATGGCCCAGTCTGTTGAGATTGGTCAACCCTGCTCTGATTGGTCAGATAGCCCAGTCTGTTGTGATTGGTTACCGTGCTCTGATTGGTCAGATGGCCCAGTCTGTTGTGATTGGTTTACCCTGCTCTGATTGGTCAGATGGCCCAGTCTGTTGAGATTGGTCAACCCTGCTCTGATTGGTCAGATAGCCCAGTCTGTTGTGATTGGTTAACCCTGCTCTGATTGGTCATGTGGCCCAGTCTGTTGTGATTGGTTTACCCTGCTCTGATTGGTCAGATGGCCAGTCTGTTGAGATTGGTTACCCTGCTCTGATTGGTCAGATAGCCCAGTCTGTTGTGATTGGTTTTTACCCTGCTCTGATTGGTCATATGGCTCAGTGTGCAGATTCGTGCAGGAAGAGAGACTGGAATTACTAACAACTCGTTTAAGCAGTTAATAATCAATTGGTTATTTTAAGAGACAATAACTTTATTTGTCATGCACTTTTATGTTTAAAACTTTGTCAGACCTTTAACATTCACAAACAGCTATATTACGCACTGCATGAAAGGTGATATTCTAAAAAGCATAATAAAAACCCCTGCAAGTTCGCTTTTTTTTTTTCATTTTGATAATCCGTTAAACTCATATGCCACAACATGAAAGAAAATATCTGTCGCAGCTTCAAAACCAGCCTAAAGACGGTAGCTTTCTACACAAGCTGACTAGTATGGTCTGTTTTGCTGGTTTTCAGGCACTTGTCAGCTATTCGGGGTGGATACCTGGTAAACAAGCATAAACCAGTTAAGGCCAGTGAAGCTAGCTTAGGTAATGTTTTCAAAAGTGTTGTGAAAAAGAGTAATTGAAATGTGCATCTAACGCTGTTTTCCATTGATTTCACCCTCAGCCTATTGTCTTGCACACTCATAAACCACATTTCACAGCAGTGATTTAATGTCAATGTAAATGATAATCTAACACCACTGTACTAATAACGTCCCACTGAGACAGCAGTCAACAGAGAGAGTGTGTGTGTGTGTGTGTGACAGGCCTCCTACGCTGATTCATCCTCCCTCTCGCACCCTCCTATGGGCATAAACCATTATTCATTTGTGCGGTGTGTGTGTGAGTGTGTGTGAGCATGTGTGTGCCTCTGAGCGTGACAGAAAGAGGGAATATTTCGAGCAGAAGAAGGGAGGGGGCGCGGATACTCACAGAGGAGTATGTTGCTTTAAATGGGGTTTCAAGTTCAATTAATATGACGTTTTTAATGAATTAGAAGACTAAGTTTTCTTTCACTAATAAAATGAAATAATCACAGAAAACCTGGGAAAAAGCTGTTTAAAATGCATATGACATGAATTATATCCCTCTAGCACTGCTCTCAAATCAAATTGGAGCTTCAGTCAAGTGAGATGACATGCGTAAAACTAGAGAGATCGAGGAATATTTTCAGTACTATTACTAACACTATTCTAAGCATTACAAAAAGTACAGGAATATATATTTTACATATAATACAATATTCTATGGAAGCTTGTTTCCGCATGGGGGAAAAACACTTTAAAAGATAGGCTAAATTGGGACTTTTTATTTCACAATTCTGACTTTCTCTCGAAATTGCGAGATAAAAACTTGCATTTGCGAGTTATAAATTGCAGGATATAAACTCACAATGATACAATAACTCACAATCTCACAACTCACGAGATGTAAACTTGCAATTGCGAGAAAAAAAGTCAGATCTGTGCGATAAAACTCGCAATTATACCCTTTTTAATTTTTATTCAGTGGTAAAAAACAAGCTTCCATAATATTCAGTATCGATCCCTACATTAAAAAAAAATGACATCTCTTTAATATTTCATTTGTTTTTCCAAGACAGTGAGGTTAAATTTATTTTTATCCTGAAAAAACACCCCAAAAAATCTCAGATGTGCCTCTTCTAGAATTTCAGAAGATATCTCAAAAATGTCAGAGATTTCAATATGAACTCAAACCTTTCATCTGATTTGCTCGCCACATTTATTTTAAAGCTCTTTACTCTTACTGTAGGGAAACCATTGACTCTTTTGTCCCTAGATTTGACTATTTGCAATTTGGTGCTTTGACTGAGTATAACATAGACCTCCGAACAATTGAATTCTTTATCTTCTGGCTTACACTCTTAAACTTGGCAACTCTAGTCATTTCTTGGCTGATTTTCACTTTTGTTGTCGCATGTTTTTTCATCGACGTATATTTTCACAACACTGTCATAAAAATAAAAAAAACTCACTTGCGACTCCTCCCGCTTTCTATCGCTGCTCATGTGCATTTGGTATTATCGGAGCCGGCCAACTCTATCGTGTCAACACATTCTCATCCCAAAAAGTCATATAACTGACTTTTTGGGACGTCTTTTGACCATACGTCAATATTCGCCTTTTTAGGGCCCCCTTAAACGTCGCTAGATGGCGATCCCGGGCCGTCATACAACTGACGCTTTACCTTTAATGTCAGTTAGGTGACGGGTTAGGTTTAGGTCTGGGGTAGAGTTAGGATCCCATAACCTCATCTACCGACGTTTAAGGGGGCCCTAAAAAGGCGAATATTGACGTATGGTCAAATGACGTCCCAAAACGTCAGTTATATGACTTTTTGGGGTGAGACTGCGCTGATCGTGTGGAGCTATGTCTCCCGAGTGGGTAATACATCATACATAGTATCATAGAATTATGTCATAAAGCAGTTCGTGTTTCTCGCTCGTTCTCGCTTCTCACGAGACTTCTGTTTCCAACTTAACGGGATGTTAGTCCCGATATTGCAAGGTTTGTTTTCCACCTGGGAATGCTGGGATGAGCAGGGAACGTCATCATTCTCTCCAGAACAGGTTATTAAACCATCCAAATGATTTCTGAACGATTTCATTAAGTTGAACTAGTTGCCAAGAGCCCCTTTAAATATAAAGGTGCTTTATTGTCATTGATGGTTCTATGAAGAAACATCCATGAAATCACTAAAGGTTCTTTATAGTGAAAAGGGGGTTCTTTAGATCATTAAAATGTTCTTCACACGAAGGAAAAACTGTTATTTTAAAAACTGTTCACTGAAAGGTTCACCTTTGTTTTTAAGAATGCACCTTTAAAACAATCATTCCATGACAAACCACCTACTTTGAAGCATCATGCCCTAATTCCTCTTGCCGCATTAATTTGGATGAGACTTTGTTTGGGAATATGGGAAAAAATAATGCATGCATGCTCAAATGCCAAACAAAGGAGCATAGAACATTTGCGGGTTTTCTTTGAAGGCATAAATTAACGTGCAATGCAAGGTTCACGTTTTGCCGTGAACGAGAAACATCACACCGAATGTTTCATTTCACATGGCACGCTGGGAGCTCTTAGTATGCATGATCTGCGCGCAAAGAGGGACTGCCCTACTTCTGCAAGCACACACAAAAATATGAGATGATACACAAGTGGGAGTGACCACAGTGCATCCAGCATCCTTTTTATTGTCATGACACAGTACACAGGGTGAACACAAGCAGAAAAACACCATACTCTAAAAGAGAAATCTGTCAAGACAAGAGGAGTCTGAATGACATCTGATCTGACAGCATGCATTGATGGAAATCAGTCCCAGTCAATCTGACGGCCTCCACACTGTGCATAAGGAATGAGCGGACTTGCAAAAGAACAAATTCAATGCTTCAATGCATTTTAAGTAAACAACCATGTTTTACTATTGCATATGCTGGGCAGGGTGAACCAGCACAAAAACACAACGCATCATGAGAAATAGCATGTTACTCTAAAAAGAGTGGCAGAGAGAGGTTTGAATGACATCTGACAGCATGCTTTGATGAAAATCAGTTGCAATTGTACTAATACTGTGAGGGAGGAAAATGTGTGTGCGTGATGAATAAATGTACAATTTTCTTTGAAAATGGGATTTTCTTTGAATTTGAGAGTGAGCTTTAGATTCGAATAGAATAACATCTAACAGCAGTTGCAATTCGACTGTGCATAAGAAAGAACAACGAGTTAAAATGTAAACACACAGCGTGTAAATAACAAATGTGCATGCAACTGCGAACGCATATGTTTTCTATCACACATGGGTGGGCAAATACGAAATCACAATGCATCAGTGCACTGGATGAAAAATAGTCTGTTAGTTTTAAAAAAGGTTTGAATTCTATTAACGCACGCTGTCAGATGTCAATCATTTGCAATCGTAGAGAATGCGCTCTGCGCGTAAATAATAAATATGCGCATCAGAAGAACATTTACAGTTTACAAGTAAGCAGCGTTCAACAATTACGAGGAGGAAACACATATTTCCCTATAAAGCATAAAAAAAAGGTTATCCGTGTGGCCGAAGCCCTCAACACGTAGCCTATTCAAAAGCATCATTACCTTTGTGCATGCCGGTGTAGCGGTCCTTGAGGACAGTCAGTTCGTGGATCTTTCCAAACTGTTCGAAAAGAGGCTTCAGGTCCTTCTCCTCCAGGTTGCGCGGGATCTGTCCTATAAAGAGCTTGATGGCATCCTGGTCTTTCATGGTGCCGTTGTCGGGGTGGATGGAGATGGGCTCTGAGCCGTTCATGGGCTTGGGGAAGGTGATGTGCGCGTACTGGGGCTGGTGCGGGTGCGGGAACAGGAGCAGTGGTGCCGCTGCCTGGCTCGGTACCGCCCCCGGTCCGGTGAGGAGCAGGCTGGCGTGGGCAGGCTGAGGATGAGGATGCTGAGGATGCTGCTGCTGCTGCCTCCTCGCTTCAGTCTGGGTGAATCTAGCCATTCTGCGCGCGGCGGAGAGCGCGATAATAATAACAACATACACACGCACGCACACGCGCCGGGAGAGAGTACGCGCTCAGCTGGAAACGAGACGCTCGCTTTCTATTCGAAACATGTCAAGCTCACCCCCCACACCTGGAGGAGGAGGAGGAGATGAGAGCAGAGCGCGGCCACGACTCACATGCGCGGCCCCGTAGCGCCATCTGCCGACGATTAGTCAACTGCACAGACAGAAGGAGAGATTTACAATTACATCTAATCGTTTAGAAAACGCTTTTACCCTTCCATTGTCAATTTATATTTTATTTTATTATGATGATTTTTTTTTCTTCAATTTTGATTTAGTGATTCAAAGTGTACATTTTTTTATTCTCTCTGTCTGGTGTGTGTGTGTGTGTGTGTGTGTGTGTGGGGGGGGGGTGCTGTTTGTTTAGTTTTATTTTATGTATAACAATCTTTCTGTAAACATTTTTGAGATTTGGATATGTTTTGTGTTGTATAAAAAACTGCAACAAATAAAATTATAAAAAAAGAAGAAAAAAAAAGAAAACGCTTTTACCCAAAGCGATGACAACAGTGTACAAGCGCCGTAATAAGTCTCAGTTCATTGCACAGTAGTCTGCACAAAGTTTTTTTTTTTTTTTTTTTTACACAGGAAAACAAATAAAAATAGAATAGTATAGAATACTGTAGAATAGAAAAGATAAGTGCTATTAATTGGTTAGGATAGATAGATAGATAGATAGATAGATAGATAGATAGATAGATAGATAGATAGATAGATAGATAGATAGATAGATAGATAGATAGATAGATAGATAGATCTACATATATGATTTTAGATACACACACACACACATAGGCTATATGATAAACTTTATGATTCTATTGGCTAGATCATATCTATGCCTATACACTTGTTTAGTATCTTACACAGACAATGTAGGTAAGTGAAATCAAACAAATTAGCAGTTTTATGACATCTGTTAATCTGTTGTGTGACGTCATTACATTTGAAATCCTGTTTAGCAGGGTATATATTTTATGACTAGGACTTATTTTTGGATAACCTGTCAACTAGGGACAAAGCTAGGTCTATTACCTGCACACAATCTCACTGACGTAATCCAGCATGTGCACAGCAGCACCACACGCAGAACACACACACACATTCGTGACGTCATCCGGAGGACCAACACACAGAACCGATTGAACGGAAAGACAGAAAACTCGTGCTTTTACCGACACATTTTAACTTACCTTTTAATAAGAAAGTTAGCCATGTCGGTGAACTACGCCGCGGGACTTTCTCCTTATGCGGACAAAGGCATCTGCGGCCTCCCGGAGGTGATCTGTTTACATTTGTGGCTATTAGCCGGCTAGCTAGAGTTAGCTTCATTTAGTGCACATTAGCGTCAAATTTGCTGTTTGCTTTCTGAAATGTACTATTTTTCTGCACTGAAAGATGTTTCAGATACACGTGGGTATGGCCATTGTATCCTTCATAACTTCATAGTTACCAAATAATACTGAACAAAGACATTCAGCAGTTAACTTAGTGAATTAATTCACATGGTAAGTTAATAGTAAAGAAAGAAATTAGAACTCGTGTGTTACTTTGATCTTGCCACTGTGAAGTGCAGACTGTATTAATATAATAAAAGTCACCTGTGGTCAATGAATAACGTTAATAGATTTTGCTTTTAATAATTACGAGGTAACAGTTCGCTAGCCCGACAGTTACTGCTGTTTATCGTTGCCAAGCAACATAGCGCGTTAATGTCAAGTCAAGTTTAAATTATATGTAATAATATTGATAATAGCTCATACATACATATGCATAATTTTATATAAATGCATGTTTACACATGAGAATAAATAAAGATTAAAGACCCGTTCACACCAATGACGATATCGATAAAGATAAAGTTAGTTCTAAAATCGTTCTCAATATTAAAGAATAGCCGAGTTCACACGACAGCTATAACGATATTGGCACAGAGAAACGAGATAGTTGGAATCACTTTCAGAACGATTTTATCCAGACGATAAACAATAAAAACATTGACAGCCAATCAGAATACATCCTGCTGTATCGAGCTCGAGCATTTAAAGCGGCAGACGAGCACGCGCTTAGAATAAACAGAACGATATCGCCCTCAGTTGTGGACGCTATTTAGTTAAAAGGCAGGCCTCCAGTATAATAGTGCACTATATCATGGAAAAAAATAATATATACATTTTGTATATGTGACACCACTCACTAGATGTTACAGCAACTGGGCCGCAGGTCACTGTCTCTGATCAGTATGTGTGTGTGCGTTTGTAGGTGTTTGACAGCCCAGAGGAGTTGAAGACTAAAGTGGAGACACTGGCCCAGTGGATCAAGGAGTCGCAGTACATGGTGGTGCATTCGGGAGCTGGAATCAGCACGTCCACAGGGATCCCAGACTTCAGGTACTTCAGTTCTCACCATAGATATGAATACATATTCTACATTCAACCGCCATCTTGGAACAGTCAGCGCGTCATTGCTCACAATAAGAATCAAGAATGAAGACACAACATTGTGTAGATTTAAAGGACAACTCCGGCGCAAAATGAACCACTGGTCTAATTACACATTGGTACATAGTCAACCGTTCTCTCAGATTCGTTTTCATGATTATCGAATGTAAAGAGTTTTATCTCTAAAAACTGTTTAGCTTATAGACCTTATGTAGCCCCGCCCCTTTTCAGTGATGCGCTCGTTGTCTTTTGACTCCCGGTCTGTATTTTCACAGCGATCTTGCATAGGTATGAATGAACTACTCGTAAAAAAAATTCCCAGTCGACATTTGTTAAGACATCTGCTTTTCAATGCTTATGATAAACATTACAATGCTCATGATAACTTTTGTTAACTCTACAATAAGTAAATCCACTTCACCAGCTAATTACTCCTCGACAGCGATGCCATAGAAATATACAGAACCGGAAGTTCAAAGACGATATTCGAAAGATGACGGCGCATAGGGCTGTCGCGGTAACCGCAATATTGTAGTACCGCGCTTCTGACAAGTCAACCGCAGAGGATTGCACATAACCGCAGCAACCGCGATATTCACGTTTTTTTTTTTTTATAAGGCTATACCCTTCTTGTTTTGAACTTAATGCATGTGTATTGAATGTTAAACAAGTTCATAATGATAACAAGACTGTTTATCATGGTGATGTGTAGCCTACAGGCTTCACACAGACAGTGAATGAGAGAGATCGGCAGAGCGCGTGCAATTACCTGCATCTGTCTTTGAAGTCGTGAAAAGCTTGTCGTGTCAAAGGGAAGTGAAAAATTTGTCGCATCATCATTTTAACTTTCTCTTCACGGGTATTACTATTTTCCCATAAATGCGCATCAGCAGCAGCGCTGGTCAGCATCCCACAACACAAGGAAGCTGAAATAAAATCAGTGAGTCACGCATTGAATCAATGGGTCTCTAATAAGTGAAGCATCAGCTTCAGCGTTGCCCATGCGACGCGTTGCTGCTCAGCTGAGCCTTGAAAAGTTGAGTCTCAAAGTTAAAAATAATTAACATCTTGTTGAATCAGCTTTTTTTAACGTGTTCGTTGAATGAACGGTTCAATAGACCTTATTCAGAGCAGCGCCATGACAGGTATGAAAGTGAGGCTGTGAGGGATAGACTTACCGTGTTTCCAATGGCATCCGCTTTAAAAAGCTGAATAAAGCTCCTAGATTACTTACAATTTTCCACAACTTACATTGTCAGGAGTTTTTTGTCAACTGACATTTCTTTGAAAGATATTTTTCCAGTGTTTCATGAGCAGAACAATGCGAAAACACATTAAATAACAATACAGCCCATTGAAGAGATGCAAGTCTATCCCTCACAGCCTCGCTTTCATTCTCATTAAAAATCAAAGATGGCGCTGCCGTGAATAAGGCGTATGATTCGCTCAAAGTCTATTGTCATAACAATATGCGCGCTGAGTGAAAGTCTTTCAATGCGCATATACTGTGTAGACGCTATTTAGTTTCGGTTACATTGGTTACTGAAAATGTCCTCGTTTTTGTCCACATCGTAAACTTTATTTATATAGCAACAAAAACATATAAATTAAATAAATAAATAAATAAATAAATGGCGGTAATACCGCATATCGCGCTATTGAGCCACTCAACATTACCGCAAGGAAAATTCCATAACCGCGACAGCCCTAACGGCGCATTGAGAACGTTTTAAGTGTACAGACCGTTTAATAAGAAGATAGTTTATAAAGACAGTCCACGTCGCGAATACAGGCAGGAGCCATCTTTGGAAAACAGTCTCGAGCAGTCGAACCACGAACGCCAATCCAAGTGCGCTGGTGAGATGTGAACGAGCCAGAACTTGGCTCTGCATTCGTGTTCACTGTCTCTTTAAAGGAACACTCCGACTTTTTGGGACTTTAGCCTATTCACCTTACCCCCCAGAGTTAGATAAGTCCATACATACCTTTTTCATCTCCGTGCGTGCTATAAGTCTGTTTGACGCACCCACCGCTAGCCTAGCTTAGCACAAAGACTGGATGTGACTGGTTGCAGCTTTCATACTAATCCAAATGAGTGACAAAATAACGCAAACGTTTTCCTATTTACATGTTGTGATTTGTATAGTCACATAATGTACAAATAACAAAGTCAAATGAGACACAGACATCTTTTAACCGTATAAAACCTGGGAACTATTCTCTGAAGGCGAAGCACTGCTACTTTGACGGCGTAATAACCGCATCACCGGAGACACGCCGTGGTGAGGAGCGGAGAGTTCGCTCAGTGTTTGGGTAACAGAGTCAGCAATTTATAAATAGTAAAAGCGTAGTTTACAGTCATGGGTTTTCGCTCTATTGTAAATAGCTGCGACTGTAAACAGGGGAGGTAACCATGTTTCACAGAATTTCAACTAAAAACGCTGACTGGATGAAGAAATGGCTAACTTACTCTGGATATTTATCCAAACACACCTAAGATTATCAAGGGACATTATGTTTGCTCGGTACATTTCAATAAGGACGACTATTTTGAAAAAATGGAATTTGCCACACGGACCATAATGTGCTGAAGGATACGGCCATCCCATCGATAGCACAGACAGGACAAGTGGATCACCTGCGGCTGAGGTAAGTGTTCCGTTATGTTTTTAGATGACCTGTAACAG